CTGTCTAGCCAAACTATACATACCTTAAGGTACAACCAGGGTACAAGGTCATTTCAGGGGGATTCCTATCACCGCTTTGCTGTCTAGAAAATATAGTAGGATCATATCTGTGTAGCCAAACTTTACATACCTTAAGGTACAACCAGGGTACAAGGTCATTTCAGGGTAATAATACTTAGGTAGAACAAGGGTACAATTTGCTGAACTTTTTCTACATATGAAGGTCACAGAGTATTTGTAACCGACATGTTTGTTTCGAGTATGGGAGAAAAAGAAACAAACTTGGGTATGGTGCGTGGACAGGGAAACCCTCGGGTAGAAGTTTGGCTGTCCAGCACTCAGCAAATTCTCGTGCTAGACAGCCAAACTCTTACCATGGGTTGAGATTTCCCTGTCCACGGACCACACCCATTCCATTTAAGATTCTAATAATCTTTTATGGAGAATTACAGATGGAGAAGAAGCTGCAGCACTAATGAATGGTGAGGTAAACTTATAGAGACCCTTATCATACACACACCTCTCTTACTTGATTCGCTCCCTTTTGTGTAACTAAAACACTGACAGGTCAGCAAGGGCCCTGTAATGTGCCCAACTGTACCACCCTGTCCCCAACCCCCAATCTTTTATTTTTTATTTTTTATTAATAGTGACCTTAATCTTGATAATTTTCTTAATCCCTTATACACTTCTACATTTCCAAAAGAGAATTCTTTTTTATCCGAGATAAAGACTGTACCCTGGTCAATTTTCAGTAACAGTGACCTTAACCTTGACCTTAAAAACTGTTCAAACCCTACACCATGTCAAATTTCAAGATTAGCTTTTTGGATATCTGAGATAATCTTTAGAAACAAATTAGTGTGAACGGACAGCTTAGTACCGTGATTACTATTCCGTCTTTGTGTATTGCAGAGATATCCTCTCTTGGGAGCAGGTATTGATTGTTACGTCATTGGTTTGTGTGAGAAAATTACGTCGTTTTCTCAAAAATTGATGACGTTACTCTCACAAACAAGTGACGTAACAATCAATACCTGCTCCAAAGAGAAGATAACTCTGCAATACGCAAAGACGAAATAGGACACCCACAACTCCAATGCCGTGCCCTAATCTGATAAAAATTCTTGTAAATGCATACGACATGTAGTATGTGTAGGAGGATCTGTTCACATCTCACCAGTCTATTCCATTTACACCATGTAACACAGGTATTTTATCATGTCATTGCAGCAAGACAGTGATAGTAACAAACTTTCTGTCAGAAAAAATAATACAAGTACATGTATACTGGTCAACTGGTTATAGCAATTTGTATATAAAACCATGAAAAAGCATGACATGTAACCTAACATACATAAACCCAGTTGACAGGATTGTTAACTGTATTATGACGTGCATGTCTAATACCAACTTGTATGTTACCTTTTACACTATTTGGCAAATACTTACTAACATATATATGGATATAACATATTTAAATGTGTAATACTTAAAGAAAAACGTCGAGCAATGTCCATAAAAAGCAATGTGGGAAACTTGTTCTATCCGGGGGATCCACTACTCTTGAATTCTATGATAAATATGTTATTTGTACTTAGTGTATTAAAACAATAAAACTTTATACCATTTGAATCATATATGTTTATTAATTAAAATGTCTTCTTTATGTTTCTATTACATGTAATAGTATACTAGCTTTGTTTTCAATTTGCCACATTTAAGATATGCAAGCTTTTCCAATCATAAGTTAACTTATAAAGACTGCCAAAAATGAGTCCCAAACTTTGAATTTCCTAAAAATGACATTATTTTTTATTAAAATAATTGTAAATCAGCTTTAATGAATTCAATTTAGCATTTCTTTTCCATTTAGTAGAAAAAAAATGAGCACAACGCGCTTCAGTCATGTGATGAAATAGGTCCATAATGTCACCTGTCTCGTCAAGATAAAAACGAAAAGAAAAGTGGCTATCTGATTACAAGTTTAACTCACCAACACCTTTTCAAAACTGTAATTTCATCAAAGTTACATAGCAAATAGGTACTATGATTCAGCAGTTCACCTTACAAAGATATGGAACCTGATATTCAAGGCTGGTTAGACAAGAAAATGTGTACCTTTGTGACCAGGCCAATATCTACATGGATATATATAGAGCGTACTTAAAAAAATCTTAATGTATTTTAAGTATATCTACAAGATTCTCACACAGAAGTTTAAGTGATCCATCATTATATATAACTAGTTTTAAAATCATAAAAGGTCTTCGAGATCTAACTATAGTACTAGTCTTTGTATTGATCTTGAAAATGATGTGAAAACCCCCTGGAAATGCTGTTTTTTTAATGAACTGATCAGAAGCACTGATGTGTGATTGCATCTTAGAGGGACAATTGAATTCACAGAAAGCAATTTAATAATCTTATAAATTGACTGAGTTAGATTATTTATTCCCAATCGTAATCAACTGTTATCTAATCTTACGGCTCTGTACTAAAGACGCGGGGAGAATTTCACAGTGAACTGCAGCACAAACTAACATTATTGATTCTAACATTAACACGTAACACAAATTAATTGAGACAGAAATGTTCTTTATTACAAACTGAATAGTAATTCAAATTTGAAAGTGTTAATTATGAAGGTTTTCATTTTTTAAATCGTTATTTGTAAATGCACAAGATTCTATAATGTTGATCATCCCTCATCAGTTTTTAAATGTTCTTGAATACCCGGTATGTACTTGTACAACTCCAAAATCTATATCTTCCTACAAGATTTTATAAGACAGATCTTATTTCCATTGAAATTTTAAAAATGTCATCAGTAGATCACTTAAGTTTTGAACTGAGTGTGGGAGAAGATTTGATACATTCCCCCACACCTAGACTGTATACAATCCTGTATAGCTAGCAGTATTCTCGACAAGGGTGGGGTTTACATGTGTATTGATTTCACTGTGATACACTCTAAATCTTGCAGGTTGAAATTGGCTCCTAGTCCAAACTCTCGAAACTTGCATGATTTGGTTGCCAATTTTTTGCCAGGCGCTTAGCACTATAGAAATTTAAATTTTGTTCTGAACTTTAGATTGCAGCACCGTGATTAGATTTTCATTACTGCCAGCAATAGTGAGAGTGTGTTCAGAAGAATCTCTTTAGGCCTGTTTATTTTCAACAAAGAATTACCGTAAACAAAATCAGAAAAGAGAATCTTTCAGAACAATATTCTAAAAGTAGAAACTTTCATAAGCGTAAATTTTATTGTGTACATGTGTAAATTCACGTTTGTCAAATTTTCACAACATTGAAATTATTTCAGAAGTAATATGCTGCTGAAATATACGTTACTTTCAAACATGCATCCTTTCACATAGTTTAAATAAAATTGACATTAGCATAAAATTCCAAAACAAAATAAAAGTTTCCAATATCAAAATCCAATAAGATGTGTTCCAGTAGATTTACAGAAAATTTAGGCAACAATTTATTGACAGCTACGTCTTGTTGTAATAAATTAAAACCTAATAATTATATAGCAACGACACTGTGTGATATTAGGAAGTATTATATACATCCTATTTTGATATAAATCAAAATGCATTCCTGATAGGCTGTGATTATATATTAAGCTACCCAGAAGTCCATGATTTCTTTATCTAGTATTTAGTACTGGTCTACTTTCAAATACAAGGTTCTCAGTTTTTACCTTGCCTCTATGTATGTTGTCAATAATATTATATACAACCACAAGCACAACTTTTACCTTTTCCATTAATGGAATGAGACAATTAAATAGCATGCAAGGTACATAATAGTATTCAGACTAAATACAGCGACTAATTATGGGCCCAAAGTTAGTCTGAAAACAGTTCCTGTTACTCTAGCATTCTTTTCAGATCTTTATAATGGAACAATCATCATATTGCTTTATATCTTTAAAGAAGTGAAAAAAATGTAAAAGAAATTAGAAGGAACCACTGATGAACAAGATCCTCTACAAGATACTATTATCACAAAGGTACTAAAAAAAGTCAAAAATGTATGGAGGCTTTGTAAATCCACGTGTTACACTTGCCTATCACATTTTAGTTTGACCTTGAAGTGCCACAGTTTGTGTCCTTGTAACAGTTAATGTGTAACAGTGATACAGAAGACAGGGAAGGATGTGACCTTCCCACAGCCTACATATAGGTAACAAGTACAGCTACTGAAACAAATATCATATTGTGGTGATCGTATTATGGAAGATGGATATTTGATCTTTGATCTTTTTTAACAAATATAGAAAATATTGTAGTGAGCAATAAGATCGTATCAAGAAGTGACTAATATGCTGACTTGTAACAACTGTTTCTATCTAAATGTTGTAACAGTGAATCAGTAGCTAGGTATGTAACACGCGTACCATGGAGTGAATCATAAATAAAGTTACCTGAATGAGTAAATGAAGGAACAAACACACCATTGTACCAAGACAGGATCAACTACACAGGTAAACAAGCCTTAAATAATTAATGCAAATTGAAAATGACAAGCAGCCCATATAGCACAAATGTTATTGCTTTGTCAAATCATTTACATAAAACATCGACAGGAAAAAGTTCATGATTTAATCATGTCCTGCTCAATGCATTCATTGGGAGAATTCTATTGTGTAAATATGATGTGATGAAATAATTACCAGGACAAAGTGACATGTCAATTTTCAACACGGTTCTTCATTGTACAGCTTGTTAAACTTTGTGAAATTCTGGAGAACCAGAGAAACACAATGGATTGTTGGAGTCACAAGCTGGCAATTGATTATGTAATGGAATGATGTAATATTTCATGGATAATAGCTGTAGCAACTTGTAATGCTAGCAGAACTCCCGATTCTGCATGCGACAAATTCTAATCAATTTTGCCAGTAAAGACATAGCTACAGATTATTTGTCCCCATGCATGAAAGCTTAAGTCCCCTTATCCTGGTGTCCCCTCCCAGTCCCACTGACCTTGGTCATCATGGCTCCCTTCGTCCCGGCGTTCTGGGTGGTCCGTCTGTCCGTTGGTAAAGATATATAATCTCTGTTGGGTATTTCTATCCTGGTACTTACGGCCACAAAAACATAGTCCGTTGTGCCGTAGGGTCACTAACATGTTTGTGACGATAATTGATTCTGCTGCAGCCGAGTCTGAAATTGTACGGACTCTCACACGCACAGTTCAATAGGTCTACATGTTGGGTCTACACACTGTGGAACATCGTAATTTTGTCTGGCAAACGGCTGTCTGCTAACATCTACGATTTTTCATTAAAAAACAATATATCCTTAGAATCCAGAGCTACAGATCTTTGATACAGTTATATACACAGAAATAATTCAATATTCTAAAATGACACTTCCTTTTTATCGGATATGACCTCTTTGTTGAACTAACAGTTCAAAACCACATATTTTCAAGTTATAAGGCATTTCATTTAACCTTTTAAAATGTTTGCCTATCTTCAACGATTATCCTCTGAACAATCCTTTGAACACAATCTCAGATAGGTTCAAGCCCCAGCGAGCTTGGTAAAGTGCGCACATCCTGCATCAATAATACCATTTCCCTTAAAACATACCACACTGTTACTGTAAAATATAAAAACCAAGAATGTTTTCAGCAGTGACAAATTCTTGCCGTGCACCGATAAATCTTCCCACGTAATGTTGTGAATCAGGTAGTTTACACGCACGTGTCTCCCACGACCATTCACAGCACAGTAAAATTCTCAGTGCTAAATTGAAATGTAAGGTTCACCCACTTCCACTAGGTAAAGATATTTTACTGAATGCCTTACAGATATATATATACACAGTACAACTCTTCGACAGGAAAGCTTTAAATCTTGGTCAGGAAGACCTCTGACTGGAACGTTACTTATGATGGGACTTCAAACAGTCTACAAACAGTCTTATCAGCTGAAGAATTCATCCTTTTGTCAACAAACCTGAAGTGGACAATACTTACACAGTAATTTTAACCTTCAATGAGAAAAATCAAGGTTATAGCTGTTTCCTTTATGCAGTCACAAGAACCTGTAAGGAGCTAAAACCCACTCATCCATGAAACATCCATAGGGGGTCAGTGTTCCAGGTTTTTAAGTAGGAGGGAAGTTAGTTTATTTTGCACTGTCAGGTGACCACAAATTGGTCTACTGAAAGCAGAGGCAAATGAAAGTTATCATATGGCTATCGGACCTAAATAAAGGTATATCAAGAGACATTGGTCACACCTGACTAGCCACAGCTGATGTGACATTGTGTATATGTATACATGAAAGTGAAAGCTATAGTACATGATTGGGTCTATACACCTTAACTTACACCTGATGCTACATATAAAAACCATAGTCAAGCTGCTAGTAGCAAATCCACCACTTATTTCTCACCTGTACATGATCTACCTCCAGGTGAGACAGTGATAAAACTGACACATGGTCACAGGGACATTTTGTACATAACCACAAAACACTTTAAAAAACATGATACCTTGTATATGAACCACAGGAACACAACACAACACATTACCATTAAAATATCATAATAAACCATAGGAACAAAACATGTTACCCAATATATAAACCATAGGAACACAACATGTTACCAATTATATAAACCACAGGACCACAACATGTTACCCAATATATAAACCATAGGAACACAACATGTTACCCAATATATAAACCACAGGTACACTGCATGTTACCCAATATATAAACCACAGGAACACAACATGTTACCAAATATATAAACCACAGTAACACAACATGTTACCAAATATATAAACCATAGGAACACAACATGTAAACCACAGGAACACAACATGTTACCCAATATATAACCCACAAGGAACACAACATGTTACACAATATAAACTATAGGAACACAACATGTTACCCAATATAAGGAACACAACATGTTGCCCAATATATAAATATATAAACCACAAGGAACACAACATGTTACACAATATAAACTATAGGAACACAACATGTTACCCAATATATAAACCACAGGAACACAACATGTTATCCAATATATAAACCACAAGGAACACAACATGTTACCCAATATATAAACCACAGGAACACAACATGTTACCTAATATATAAACCACAGGAACACAACATGTTACCCAATATATAAACCACAGGAACACAACATGTTACCCAATATATAAACCACAGGAACACAACATGTTACCCAATATAAAAACCACAAGGAACACAACATGTTACACAATATAAACCACAGGAACACAACATGTTACCCAATATATAAACCACAGGAACACAACATGTTGCCCAATATATAAACCACAGGAACACAACATGTTGCCCAATATATAAACCACAGGAACACAACATTTTACCCAATATATAAACCACAGGAACACAACATTTTACCCAATATATAAACCACAGGAACACACCATGTTACCCAATATATAAACCACAGGAACACACCATGTTACCCAATATATAAACCACAGGAACACAACATGTTACCCAATATATAAACCATAGGAACACAACATGTTACCCAACATATAAACCACAAGAACACACCACAACATGTTACCCAATAAGTAAATCACAGGAACACATGCTACCCAAATGATAAATAACAGGAACACAACACAGCACGTTACGTACTCAATATATTTTATGAATCACAGTAATACATGTTGCCCAATATATAAATTAAACCACAGGACCACATTATGTTACCTTGTATAAACACTACAGGAACACAACATGTATATAGATACTTGATACAGGTTACGTTAATTTGTTACATAACTTGACACTAGAAAGACCTTACACTACTACTGTTGTATTTGATCCTGTTATCGTTATGTCATTCAGACAATCGTTATGTCATTCAGACAATCGTTATGTCATTCAGACACCTGTACAAGCCTAAGCTATAATACATATATTGTATGAGGTAGACCTTAATATGGAATGATATGTCAAAAGTATGAAATTAAATTTGCATGTGGTAAAAAAATCTTTGATTGATCAACATTTAATAATGAGGTATAAAGTTCATTTCACTTTTTTAATATTTTATTGATCATCCATTTTTGTTATATGTAAAATTGACAGGCTATAACTGGTAGCCCTAGGCCTCCAGTGTCTGTCAGTGTACATTTATATCCCACTCGTTACACACTTTACACCCACAGAGACTGGAATCAATGTTGCTACTTGGAGTCAGAAGCTTCAATCAAATAAAAACATCATCACTAACTTATCTCAACGTTGAAATTGCTTTGATAAATGACTTAGGTGTATATGTACATAAAGATAACCTATCCAGTGATTACATTATACAACTTACCTGTGGTATATATACCTGTTGATGGAATTCCACCACACCCAAGAAACATAACCTTTCAGTACTGTACACAAACTACATATTAGATATCCTTCACATTTTTCATGGAGAGAAGCCATGAGGCAAAAAGTAAAAAAAAGTCTGAAAGTAGTACTCACAAAGATCCCTACATAATGATAGTATAAAATATTAGGTTTGAAGTTGTATTATACAATGTGTCAAATGGCCTTGTGAAAAGAGTAAGATGTATAGGATAATGCTGAAGTCAAACGTTTGAGTGAAAATTCAAGAATCTCTCACCAAAAAGGGAATATGGACACCTATGGTAACAGAATTAAATCTCATTGAAATCACAGATTTGATTTCAGTTGATAAATAACTTTCCTATTAATTCTAACCGATTTAAACTCTCGCTTCTTTGAAAATAGACAAGAAGTGTTTGTGTGCATAAAAATGGTTACAAAATTTGATATTCAAGTAGCAATATTACAGAAGTAAAAATTTCAATACAGTTTCCTTCACCCATTATAGCCATCATATAAAACAACTTTATACTTTTTAGTCACATACATTGATAATATATATGTGTATTACCATAGGAAGTTTAACTGTGATGTAATTTGCTAGTTTATGAAAATTGAAAACCATAAGTTTTAACAAGGTAAAAAATGATACTTTGTATTATTACCTAGGCACTTGAAATATTGCTTTACATGCACTTATAAGGGTAATTTAATGTGAGTTATTATTGTACAAGCTGTGCAACTTCCACAGTTGTTACAGTATAACAGAAGGACATAATATAAACATCCCAGTGTGGCTGGAGGTTTGGATATCAAATGTTTCATCTGCTTCCAGGAACTTCAGTCATGTTCACCAGACATAATATCTGCTTCCAGATGCAAGGGCCTAACACATCAAATAGGGTTAAGGGGCTTTATACACCCCTCCCATATATATATATATATCAAACGGGTAAAAACTTGATACTTCAAGATGAATAGTGCCCTACTGGACATACAACTGAATTTGGCCATTTCAATATCATAGACAAGATATTTTAATATTATCAGCCTTATAAGATAATATGCATAAAAGTATCCAGATCCAGATGATAAGGGAAGGGATGGTGGTGGATGGGGTGGTGAGGAGCTGGACTAAGTCTGGTATTGATCACCAGTAAAGTACACTTTGGTGAGGAGCTGGACTAAGTCTGGTATTGATCACCAGTAAAGTACACTTTGATACAGCCAAAACAAACGTTTATTATATCAATTAAAACTCTGTGTGATTATTTTCAAGTTTTCAAGGTTGCAGTTGAATCCTAAGTAGAAGTGCGGTTGATATGCAAATTCATGTTCATCTCAAAGGACTCAAGTTAAAAAGTCAATAAAATATTTTTTAAATGTCAAACCATGACAGAAATTTCTCTGGAAAGCTCCATGTGACAATGGTAATCTGCTAGCTGATTCTGAAGAGCAAAACTTAGTATATATTGACATTTTTGAGACATAAAGGGAACTTTTGCAAATGATTAACCAAGTAAAATGTTTAAAATATTACTACAGAGATCCTATCATTATTATATGTTTACACATTACAAGATTGGGCTGTGGTGGTCAGGTGGTAAAGGCGTCTGAACGTCTAGGATCACTAACCCTCTACCATTGGGTCATGGGTTCGAGGCCTATGTGGACCAGTCGCCAGGTACTGGCCACAAGCTGGTGTTGTTTTGGGGGATACTCTGGCTTTCCTCCACCACCAAAACCTATCTGGCACATCCTTTAAATGACCATAGCTGTTTATCTAGGACGTAAAACACAAACAGACAAAAAAACAAGTGGTAATATTACAGGACAGGCTATAGTTATCTCTGCTGGCTCATCTAGTCAATCCAATCCCATTACAGAACTGGTTATGTAATGCCCAGTGTTTGACTGGCCATTCAACAGACTTTGTCAGCCCAATAATTCTGTAAAAGCAGAAAAGTATTGGACAGACCTATCTGAACCAAGTGTACATAAATAAATCTCGCCAGGATCTCCGCCTATGTCTTTTGTCTGTATGCATTCACTACTCCGGATAAATGATGGCCATTTATGGGTGAGCTGTATTTCATTGTAATCATTCCCCAGACGTCTTCCCCAGACGTCATCCCCCCCCCCCCCCCCCCCCCCCCCCCCCCCAATATACATAACATAAAAAGTGTAAGCAGCCAATATATAACAGAGGTTGTCTACATCCAGGAAGTACTGGACAGCAGTGCTTGGATCTTGTCTGGTAGCACTATAACAGCTTATCAGTGCATAGGAACAGTATGACGGCAGCATGGCATGTGCTAGCATCAGCACAGTGTTTATGTAGGAAAAGAATAATCTTTTGCAAACATTAATACAAACAAGAGGCCCATGGGCCTTAACGGTCACCTGATATATTTATACAGAGAGTTGATTTTGTTTTTAACATGAACTGAAATATTATTCAGTGACAAAAAATAATAAAACCACCTTATTCAATATCTAGCATACAAATTTAAGACACAAAAGTATTTGAAACTAGCACCTCTGATTCTAAACAAGGAAAATGAAGAAATTTTAGCACACTGACTCCTTTGGGCCCCACCCTACAGCCCTTGGGGGTAGGGCTGGCTCAAAATGTTCAAAGTATCAAACTGTTATCCAATACTGATAATGCTAACCCAAA